CCTTTGCCCCTCACCTCTTATTGTGATCCCTTCAGAGTGGTCAGCAGTGGTATTGGGGCGTTGTCTAGCTCCAGTCTCCAGCTAGGAGGAAGTGATTCATATGGTCCTTTTAGCCTTTGGGCTAATTGTTTTCATACATCTTTGATGTTCTTCACTCTTCTTCGCTCTGGAAAGGGAGAGACCTACAGTTGCATCTTTGATGGCCACTCACAAGTTTTTAAGACCCACCAAGTGCCCACTATCTCTCAGCACCATTCAACACAGAGACTGGTACACAAATCATCCCAGGACATTCTGCACAAGGAAGGGGTCAAACCCTCCTCTGGGAATCCTGTCTTTTCAGGGTGGGCATTTGCCGTCTCGGTTCTGCAGCCTGCGAGGGTCTGGCTGCCGTGCTCCAAGCCAATCACCACCTCCAGGAATTGGACCTGAGTTTCAATGACCTGGGAGACCAGGGCATACGTCTGATGTGCGAGGGGCTGCGCCATCCCACCTGCCGACTCCAGAAACTGTGGTGAGAGTCTGGGCACCAGGGCTGTTGTGAGCGTGGCTGTTGGGGTGAGAGGGTTCCTTTTCCTTGTTCTTCTGGTTGAAGGTTCTCCATCTGTCACTTTGGAAGACATAAGCAGACCAGTTGTCCTGCAGGTGATTCTGACTCATGGCGTCCTATGTGTGTCAGAGAACAACTGTGCTCCATAAGATTCTCAAAGGCTAGTTTTTCTTGTGAGACACCTCTGGGTACACTTGAGCCTCTAACGTTATTTATTTCTTTTAATATTTTATTGTGGTTTGGGTGAAAGTTTGCAGAGCACATTAGCTTTTCATCCAACACTTTGTACACATTTTGTTGCATTTCTCTGAAGGTAACAACTTTCTTCCCACATCCTCAACATGGTGTCCCTTCCTGGGAATCTCCAACCTTTCAGTTTTCAGCTAAATGCCACTCAAGGACTCCTGGAAGACTAAGAAGAAAGAAGAAAGGTGGAAACAGAAGAAATGCCATGCAGAAATCTATGGACTGGCTCATACTCTGTGAAAAGACAGCCACCAATTGCTTGAGGTTTCCCTCTATCGAGTCCGAGGGTGGCTAACTCAGAAGTGGTCTGCCTCTCCTTTCTAGTCTGTCTTAGTCTGGAAGCCTCCCCATGAATCCCCTGCTGGTATTTGAAATAATGGAGGCATAACTTCCAGCATGGCGGCAAGACAGAAGCCAGCACAGTGGACAAACTGACAGATGAGTGGTTAATTCTGACTCATGGCTACCTTATATTGTTTCTGAGGTTACATTTTAAAGCAACAGACAGCCTCATTTTTCTCCCATGTAGTGGCTGATGGGTTTGAACCACAAATCTTGTAACCAGCAGCCCAATGTTTAGAAGCCTTTAGTACCACTGGAACCCCTGACTAAGATGAACTATGCCATGTCACCGGTTCTAACTTATACCAACACTGTATAGGGTTTCCACGGAGCAGTTGTTGGGTTTGAACCACCAACCTTGCAGTTAGCAGTTCAGTGCTTATCCTACAGTGCCACACCAGGATTGTTGCAAAGTGTCATGAGTCAGTTCTGATTCATAGGGACTGTTGATGGGTTTGAACTGTGTTTAGGGTTCACTGTGGTTAGCAGACCAGTGCTTACCCTAGTGCTACATCAGCACTGTGCACATAGGTACCCTAAAAATAGGATGCTAATTCATTGGGAGTCCTGGTGTGGTGCTGTAGGATAATGCATTGGACCGCAAGGTTGATTTGAACCACAAGGTCAGTGGTTCAAATTCACCACCCGCTCCTTAGAAAGGCTGTATAGTTCGAGTCAGAAGTGACTCTCGGAGGCACTTAACAATTCTCTTTGAGGGATCCTAATAAGGAGCGTAGTGGTTATGAATCGGGCTGCTAATCTCATGGTCAGCAGTTCGAAACTACCAGTTGTTCTGCTGGAGAAAGATGAGGCTTTCTGCTCCCGTAAAGATTTACAGCCTCGGAAACCCTGTACAGAGTCACTATAAGTCTGAACCAACTCCAAGGCAAATAACAATGCGGAGCTGTAGGATAAGCACTAGACTGCTAAGCACAAGGTCGGCAGTTCAAACCTACCAACAGCACCTCAGAAACCAGGGTCGCTACAAGTAAGAACAGATTTGAAGGAATTTAACGTAGGGTTTCTGAGGAGCACTGGTGGGTTTAAGCCACTAACTTAAGGTTAGCAGTCCAGTGCTTACTTATCCTATAGCGCCATACATGGGGTGTCCTATAAACATGATGTCAATTCTCCTAGAGTATGAGACTTTCCTACATGTGTTCCAGCGGTGTCTCATCCACTTCTCGCATTTATCAGGCTGGACAGCTGTGGCCTCACAGCCCGAGCATGTGAGCATCTGTCTTCCACCCTGGGAGTCAACCAGACCCTCACTGAGCTCTACCTGACCAACAATGCCCTGAGGGACACCGGTGTCCGGCTGCTGTGCAAGACCTTGAGTCATCCTCGCTGCAAACTTCGAGTTCTCTGGTGAGAGGACATTCCTGGTGCTCCCGGGGAGGGAAGGCTGAGGAGAAAGGTTGGAATGAGCCCCCAAACCCACAGCCATCAAGTGGCTTCCAATGTAGGACCGAGTAGAACTGCCCACAAGTCTCTAAGGTTGTCTTACAGAGACTGCCTCACTTTCTCCAATGGAGGGACTGGTTGATTACCCCTGCAGATGTTTCATATCAGCCAAGTGCTTAATTTACAAGGGCTATGGAGTCCTGGGGTCGCACTGTGGGTTAATGTGCATGACTGCAAAGCCATTTGAACCGCAAGGTGGGTGGTTTCAAGTTCACCAGCTGCTCCTCGAAAACCCTATACAGGGTCGCTATGGGTCAGAACCGACTCGACGGCACTTCACAACAACATGATTAAAGTGGAGGGTCGGAGTAAAAGAGGAAGACCCCCCCCCCAACAAGATGGATTGGCACAGTGGTGGCATCAATGGGCTCAAACAATTGTGAGGTTAGCCCAGGACGAGGCAGTGTTGTGCATAGGGTCCCTGTGAGTCGGTGCTGACTCAAGAGCACTCGGGAAAGACAAAGGTTAGAACCTCCAGAGTCTTCCTCCCCTATTCTACAGAAGGTGGCAAAAAAGGGAAAATTCCCCCCCATGGGATGATCTAGGCGAGTGGGCAAAGGAAGGGGAAGTGGTGAGAGTGTGGAAACCTCTGAATGCTGGGGACAGGTGGAGGGGGTGGGATTGTGAACTTCAGGCTGGGGGCTCACAATTGGACACCTTTCACAGCCCAGAGTATGGTGGGGACCTCAAAACTGCATCCTTCTCTGGTAAGCTGAGTAACGCCCAGTTGTCTTCAACTTCTTCAGTTAACACCCATAAAACTGGCTGTCCTGGGACCTACTGACTCCCAGCAGCCATGAGACAGAAGCAAACTGCTCCCTAGGGCTTTTCTAAGACTGTAAATCTTTACAGGAGCACACAGACTTATCTTTGTCTCTGAGCAAGCTGGTGGATTTGAACTACTGATCTTGGGGTTAATAGTCCAAGGTTTAATCCAAAGCATCATCAGAGCTCTGGAGGTGGGAAAGTGGAGGCAAAAAAATGTCCCCCTTGACACATGTATCTGAATGCATGAGGAAAATGGTGACTTCTTTATAAGGTTAAGTGCCAACAAGTTGGTTCCAACTCATAGCGACCCTGTAAATTCCAAGGAGCGGTTGGTGAGTTTGAACCTTCGACCCTGTGGTTCAAACCAACCTTGTGGTCAAGTGCTTAGTCTACAGTGCCACACCAGGACTCCTGTGTATGGTTATAACAAACTAAATGAACGCACACAGGTATAAGCCACCGGTACAATTGGTGTGGTTCAAATTCCATATTTGGGGGGAGGAAGGGAGTAGACCCCCAGATCTTTCTTTTGAGGCATTTCTGAGGGACTGAAATTTCCAACTTTTGGCATAGCTGCTGAATACTTAGCCATTTATAAAACCCAAAGGTTCTGAATGAATCCCAATCCACCCCCCTGCCATACACACACACACACACACACAATGTTGACTTCCAATTCATGCCACCAACACATGTGTCAGAGTAGAATAGAACTGTGCCCCAGAGGGTTCTCAGTGGATGGTTTTTCATTAGTAGATCCCACTCATGATGCCCCTTGTGTGTCAGAGTAGAACTGTGCCCACAGGGTTCTCAGTGGATGATTTTTCATGAGTAGGTTCCACTCATGGTGCCCCCGTGTGTGTCAGAGTAGAACTGTGCCC